TAACACTAAGGACATTTGGACAAATGAGCGGGAGCAGGGGCTGCGGGTGGGGAGTGAGGGGTACTGGCAGGGCTGTGGTCAGGACACAGACTCGGCCGCTGCAGGCGTCAGAGTTGCCCTGTCTCTCAGGTTCAGGACATCGCCTCCCAGCTGGTCTCTGCCCTCTATTACCTGCACTCCCACCGGATCCTGCACCGCGACATGAAGCCCCAGAACATCCTGCTGGGCAAAGGGGGTCTCATCAAACTGTGTGATTTTGGGTAGGTCTCCCAAGAGCTCGCCCGCCCTTGGCACCTGGGGCCATGGAGCCCTTTGGCCCTGTCTCTCAGGTTCAGGACATCGCCTCCCAGCTGGTCTCTGCCCTCTATTACCTGCACTCCCACCGGATCCTGCACCGCGACATGAAGCCCCAGAACATCCTGCTGGGCAAAGGGGGTCTCATCAAACTGTGTGATTTTGGGTAGGTCTCCCAAGAGCTCGCCCGCCCTTGGCACCTGGGGCCATGGAGCCCTTTGAAGTGTTCTGGGTGTGGGGGCCCTGGGGGAGCCTCTCAGAGGGGAGGCAGATGTAAGGGGCTCCTTGCTCCCCGGCAGGTTCGCTCGCGCCATGAGCATCAACACCATGGTGCTGACGTCCATCAAGGGCACCCCGCTGTACATGGCCCCCGAGCTGGTGCAGGAGAAGCCCTATGACCACACGGCCGACCTGTGGTCCGTGGGCTGCATTTTGTACGAGCTCTTCGTGGGGACGCCGCCCTTCTACACCAACAGCATCTTCCAGCTGGTCAGCCTCATCATCAAGGACCCCATCAAGTGGCCCAAAACCATGAGCCCTTTGTTCAAGGTAAAGGGAGGAGGGGCTGGGAAGGCCCCACAGAGCCCCAGCTGCCTCACTTCCAGACAGCTCTCTCCTGGGATCTGGCAGCCCCTTGTGGGGCGAGGATGGGGGCCTGGGTGGCGTTCCATGCAGGATCCACTACTTGCTGCTGAATCGTCCCCTGGGATCTCAGCTTCCATGCACACATGTGGCTTCCAGCCCGTAGCTGGTGAAGGAGCCCTTTGGGGGCGGTGAATGCTGCCGCGTCTGCCGGAGCCTGTTGAGAGCCTGAAACAGCAGCGCTGGGGGGAGATCGGCCCATTCATCTCCGGGGTGTTAACTCTGAATCGTATCGATGCCGCCCTGTTTCAGTGGAAATATCCCCCTCTGCCCACTGCACCAGCCTCCCCTCCCCAACCCAGGCATCCTGGCTAGTGCCCATTTCGCTGGGCCCCGGCAGGAGCCAGGGTTGGGGCCCAGAGAGGCAGCGCGTGTGACGATGAGTCTCTGTGCCCCGGCAGAGCTTCCTGCAGGGCCTGTTG